CACCTGTGGCCAAATGGCTACCCTGGCAGGGTGGCCAAAAAACACCCTGCCAAGGTACCCTACCCTGTGGACAGCCTAAGGATGATCCGCCTGCAGCGTCTACAATGGACACCCTGCCAGGGTCCACCCTGCCAGGGTGGCTCGAACCGCACCCTGTAAGCAAACTGCGCACCCTGCCAGGGTGGCCCGAACCACACCCTGCAAGCAAACTGCGGCAGCGATTGTGGATGGTGTGCTGTGTGCGCTGTGTGTTTTGCGCGTTCCTCGTATGTTTTTTTTTTTTTTAGCATATTTGAGCGTACGCCTGCGGGTTAATCGCAATCGATCCCGGTTGGTTTCATTTTTTTTTTCTTACACTATGACACAACGTTTAATTTTGTATTTCATGATTCATGACATGTTTCGTCGCTCAATCGTACAGCAACAACGCCGAATAGATTATCACGCGCATCCTATATCGACTCTGCATCCACTCGAAACGCTCGTGACCAAGAATGGTGGCGACTTAAACTGCAAACTGATTATGCTTCAAGGTCGAATTCAGATCATAACCAAGAATGTCCATCAAGAGCGTTTGCCCGCGATGCTCATCCCCAAACCAAAAAAACATCATGCAAATGCAATGGTGGGGCTCAAAACCCGACTTACTTGATGACACCCTCTCAACGGAATGAGCATGCGCACAACATGTCCACGACATGCACCAAGCCAATCAGGACGCATGGTGAGCCACACGATCTATAAAGACCCAGAATACGGAGAAAAAAGGATGCAACCCTTTTGCAAACCATAAAAAAAAATGCACTCCGTGCCTTCAGGTCCACGCAACTAGTCTGGCTGGTACGCGCTCAAGCCGACTCTCTTTGGGCATACAAAGACTCAACTGCATGAGTTCAATCAAGGCTGAAGCACCTCAATACTCGGTCGGGTGCCCTTGCCCCCTGCGACACGGACAAACACCTCACTGCCGAACGCACCGGCCGGTAGAAAAACCTGCTCCCACCAGACACCACACCAAGCGCTAAGCCCTATCACTTGCCAGCACAATTCCGCGCTCCATGCATATGCGGAGCTTGTGAGGGACAAAACAACACTCAATTCATATCGTCGAGGTATGCGCCAAGATCGGCGTCCTCCACGTGGACATCTTCGGCCGGGGTNCACTCAATTCAGCTCGTCGAGATATGCGCCAAGTTCGGCGTCCTCCACGTGGACATCTTCGGNAATATCACTTGCCAGCACAATTCCGCGCTCCATGCATATGCGGAGCTTGTGAAGGACAAGACAAAACTCAATTCATCTCGTCGAGATATGCGCCAAGTTCGGCGTCCTCCACGTGGACATCTTCGGCCGGGGTCTCCTCCACGATGAGGTTGTCGTCCCCTCCGGCGTGCGGGGACAGGAAGCGCATGATCTTGGGGTTCCCGTAGTCCGACTTCGGGATGGTCAGGATTCCGGAGGCGTGGCGACGCGGGCCCGTCATGAACTGTAGCATCGAGTACCAAAATCTGGTCCGAAAATCACGTAGGGAAGGGAAAGGCATGGGCACGCAAGAACATGAGATATAAGTTAGTGTGGATGAAAACTCGGTNAAAAAACACGTAGGGAAGGGAAAGGCATGGGCACGCAAGAACATGGGATATAAGTTAGTGTATGACTACTGTGGATGAAAACTCGGTTCGGCGGATGGAGGGACCAGCACAAATGCGTGACGAGCATAAAGAACACGGGAATACCGCGGTATGCCCTGACTACCTTTGTACTCGTAAATGCGCCAGAGTAGTAGGTGTGGGGGATCTTCAAACGAAACAAAACTACCCCCGGGGCGAATCTATCGGGCAATTCCAGTTGCTTGCAGAAATACAGCATCTGCACGAAACAGTGCCTCGGAGTACGACAAACAAGTGACGAAACACCAGGACTTGGGGAGCTTGGTCACATGTCGTTGCAAGCTGGCGATACCGAAAGTTCACAACTTTGGTCAAGGCGACACGGCCGTCGGTTTTCAAGATTGTCGGGAACAACGTCCTGTTTGTTTCCTGCATTTGCCGCCGGGGGGGGGTGAGAAGGCGAAACCAGGCTGCCCCCAAAACAAACGGGGGCGCGGGGGGGGGGGGGCACTCACGG